ACGAGTGTAGAAAGGACTAACTGAAGCACTCTATAAGCTAACTACACCTAACTGGACCCCCATAAGCCCAGAAGATACACTCGTGCGCAAGTTAAATAAAAACCCGAACGGACCCCCATAAGACTGACAAGTACACAAAATAACTATAACTAAAGAGAATTGCATATGAGAACCTAAGAACGGAGAACACGAATCAGAACCTCAACCCCAATTAGTAAAATATGACAGTACAGAGGCCGGACCTCGAACCGAATGCTCACCAGAAGTACCCAAGTAACCAATCACAGGTATCAAGTATCTGAGGTCGAAACTCTAACCAGATGCTCTATATAAGTATCTAGGCAATAGAGGCCGGAACTCTAACAGGATGCTCTATATAGGTATCTGGGAAATAGAGGTCGGAACTCTAACCGGATGCTCTATATAAGTATCTGGGCAATAGAGGCCGAAACTCTAATTGGATGCTCTATAAAGGTGCTAATGTATCTGCTGAAAGAGTCCCAATCGATCTATTCTCATAAATGTCCGTGGATCGCGGTCCACATCTAGCCAATCAATGTAAGTTCTTGGAACCGAATCAAAAATCAAATTCAAATTGCGAAGCAGAAGTAGTGTCGCCGACGTAACTCTTGAAGTTGTAACATCGGGGAAATAATGATAACTATCATCGGAGCAAACGTATCGCCTAGTTAAGGCCCAAACTATTAGGCTCAAGTCTGCTACACCAGTTTACAAGGATCTAAGTCGGCCGAGCGGCGTCGCGACAAAACTAAGGCCTAACGGATCTGAATCATGTATTTCTAAGGCAAAGCCCTAGTCAAACCTAAACTAAGACCCAAATGCTTCAAAAAATAGTCATCGAGCATACAAGTACTCCACATAGCAAAGGGGACAATTAATAACACAAAGCATGCTCAAAGTTACCCGATAATTCCCGAAGTAGGCCGAAAACATGATTTCTATCGCTACCAACCCAAATCCCAACTAATCAACATGCATTCACACTCTCAAGCTCAATCTAAGAGAGGGAAACCGTAGCCTACCTGTAGGCCGATCACATGCGCTCCAAAATCACTTCTCCGGAGCTTTCCCTTTTCGAAAATCCTCGAAACACTACCCCGCTATCAAAAATAGAGTCACAACGTTATTATAGTCATTTAGACACCAAAATCACAACAAACGGAGACGGACCAATTTTAGGGTCAAAATGGGGAAAGTGGGACCCGCGCAGGAAATTCTGGAATTAACCCCAAAAGTGGGTCCTAACCAGTTCCCTCAGCTCTTGTCCCAAAATGGGACACAATTCGGGGCTCGGGAACAACACAATATCAACATACAACTAAAACCCAAATTACACTAAAATGGAACAACAATAGCAGTGGCTATTTACAAGAAAATACCAGAAACGAGGGTCCAGATGCTGAAACCAATCAACACGATGATCGTAGAAAAATCCCCACAATCTAGGCATTTTGAATCACCGGATTCGCACCTAAAATGACCAAGAAATCACCTTCTAAAATTTTCCAAAAATTTAGCTCGAAATGAGCTAAGACAGCAGCTAAAACACAACTTTTTACCTCCAACAAAATTTAAATACAAAATCTAACCACGCCAACGCGTTCTCCTTGAAAAACCACTCAAGATAGCCCCAATAATCATCGAAATTGGATCTAAAATGACTGAGAAAACAAGTCTAAACAATTCCCAAAATCAAGCTCACAAAAAGGGTGCTGGCAGCAGGTATTTTACGAAAATTACCTCAAACTGGGATCCCAAATCACTATCCGAATTCACCAATGCGTTGTCCTCGAAAAATCTCGCAACTTTGCCTTTTGAATCGCCCAAATCGGTTGAGAGATGAGAGAGTTGTGAGGGTTTAAGTTTGTGGAAAATTTGCTGGTTTTTCTGCATCTTATAGCAGATTTTCTGCACTTTTCCCAAAAACTAAAAAACTCCGATGGGGTCCTCCGATCTCGTTCGGAACCCCATGCATGCAAACGAAATATGCAACCATATCAAATTCAACATTTCGGATTCAATGGAGCAGTCCAAATTTCCATCAGAGGTCATCTCGATAAAAAATGGGTCCCATTTCCAAATATCATTTTAAACCAAAATCCACTAAGGGGCTCGAAATGAGTCCGGAGGCCTCGTGAGTCAAACGAAAGGTCGTTCTAGACCAAAATCAACATTACGGAGCTAACCACGCTGACAGAATTTTCATCTAAGAACGTTTTCCAAGAAATGTTGACCAAAGTCAACCTTAAGCCAAATTTCAACGGCTAAAACACCTAATGATCTAAACTCACATCGAAGGTCTCGATACTCGTTCCAACTATGCCACTAGCCTAATTTGGCCACTCCGGAGCTTATGGAACAGTCAGAATTCTCTTCTGAGGTCGTATTCTTGAACTTTTGATCGAAAATGATCGTTCAAGGTTCATAAGCTCAAAAATACAAAACCCGCACAAGACCAAACGAACGACCAGGTGACCGAACTGTCAGTCCCAGCAAGTCATAAATGACTTGGGGTCGCTAAGGAACGCTCTAAACACACACAGAAGCAAGACACAGAAATGACCTGAGGGTCATTACAATATCCACTACTAAAAAGGACTTTCGTCCGCGAAAGAAAGGATCAAGAAGTACCTGAAGGCTCAAACAAGCCGGGAAACTGCTCTCGCATCTCCTGCTCGGTCTCCCAGGTAGCCTCCTCGACTGGACGATGCCTCCAACGGACCTTAACAACAGGAATGGCTCTCGAGCGCAATCTCCTTCACATCTCTGGCTAGAATGGCAACTGGCTCCTCTACAAATGTCAAACGATCATCCAACTCGACTGCATCATACTGGAGCACATGGACTCATCAGGAACATACCGCCGCAGCATCGAAACATGAAACACTGGGTGGATGGCTGATACTGGAGGAAGGCCAACTCATAAGCAACCTCCAACTGTCCGGAGTATCTCAAAAGGCCCAATGTACCTGGGGCTAAGCTTGCCCCGCCTCCCAAACCTCATCACGCCCTTCATGGGCGACACACGGAGGAATACCCGTCACCAACAGAGAATCTCAAAGGTCGACGCCTCTGATCCGCATAACTCTGGTGCCTACTCTGAGCCGTCCTGAGCCTATCCTGAATCACCCTCACCTGATCCAGGGCCTCCTGAAGCAAATCTGTACCACGCGGCCTAGGCTCTGTAGACTCAAACCAACCAACTGGAGAGCGACAACGCCTACCATATAAGGCCTCAAACGGGGCCATCTGAATACTAGAGTGGTAGCTGTTGTTGTACGCAAACTCCGCCAAAGGCAAGAACTGGTCCACTGACCTCCAAAATCCATAACACAGGCCCGCAACATATCCTCAAGGACCTGAATAGTACGCTCTGACTGACCATCCGTCTGTGGGTGAAATGCTGTGCTAAGGTGGACACGGGTTCCCAACTCCTCCTGAAAAGCCCTCCAAAAGCTGGAAGTGAACTGTGAACCCCGGTCTGAAATGATAGAAACAGGCACGCCATGAAGACGGACTACCTCCCTAATGTAGATACGAGCCAACCTCTCGGCACTGAAAGTAGTATGAACAGGAAGGAAGTGTGCTGACTTGGTCAATCGATCCACGATGACCCAAATGCTGTCAACACCTCTAGAAGTCCGAGGCAACCCCACAACAAAATCCATAGTGATACGCTCCCACTTCCACTCTGGAATGGGTAATCTCTGGAACTCGCCACCAGGCCTCAAATGCTCGGCCTTTACCTGCTGGCAGCACAAGCAACGGGAAACAAAGTCAGCAATATCTCTCCTCATGCCACTCCACCAGTAATGCTGCCTCAAATCACGATACATCTTCGCTGTGCCCGGATGGATAGAGTATCTAGACTCATGGGCCTCAGAAAGTATCAACTGTATCAAATCTCCAACTCTCGGAACACAGATGCGGCGGCAAATTTCAACCACTCCATCAGGATCTAAGGTAGCCTGACCACCATCCCCGCTAACACTCGATCTCTAAGGGCCACCAAATATCATCCTCAAACTGGCAACCACGGATCCTATCAAGCAAAGAAGACTGAACTCCCATAAAGGCCAAGACGCGTCTAGAATCTGAGATATCCAACCGAACCATGCTATTAGCTAAGGACTGAATGTCCAAAGCTAAGGGTCGCTCCTCAACAGATAAGAAGGCTAGACTACCCATACTCACTGCCTTCCGGCTCAAGGCGTCCGCTACCACATTCGCCTTGCCCGGATGATAGAGAATAGAGAGGTCGTAGTCCTTCAGGAGCTCAATCCAACGACGCTGCCTCGAATTAAGGTCCCTCTGGCTCATGATGTACTGAAGACTCCTATGATCGGTATAGATCTCACATCGAACTCCATACAAGTAGTGCTCCAAATCTTAAGTGCGAAAACTACCGCCGCCAACAAGTCATGGGTGGGGTAGTTGCGCTCATGGAGTCTTAAGTGCCTCGACGCATAAGCAATAACCCGGCCCTGCTGCATCGATACAAACCCAAACCAACACCGGATGCGTTACAACAAAGCTCTTGAAGCTGTAACATCGGGGAAACAAGGATAACTATCATCGGAGCAAACGTATCGCCTAGCTAAGGCCAAAACTATCAGGCTCAAGTCTGCTACACCAGTTTACAGGATCTAAGTCGGCCGAGCGGCGTCGCGACAAAACTAAGGCCTAACGGATCCGAATCATGTATTTCTAAGACAAGCCCTAGTCAAACCTAAACTAAGGCCCAAATGCTTCAACAAATAGTCATCGAGCATTACAAGTAGTCCACATAGCAAAGAGGGACAATTAATAACACAAAGCATGCTCAAAGTTACTCGATAATTCCCGAAGTAGGCCGAAAACCTGATTTCTATCACTACCAACCTAAATCCCACCTAATCAACATGCATTCACACTCTCAAGCTCAATCTAAGAGAGGGAAATCGTAGCCAACCTGTAGGCCGATCACAAGCGCTCCAAAATCATTTCTCCGTAGCTTTCCCTTTCCGACCATCCTCAAAACGCTGCCCCGCTATCAAAAATAGAGTCACAACGTTATTACAGTCATTTAGACACCAAAATTACAACAAATGGAGACGTACCAATTTCGGGGTCAAAACGGGGAAAGTGGGACCCGCGCAGGAAATTCTAAAATTAACCCCAAAAGTGGGTCCTAACCAGTTCCCTCAGCTTCTGTTCCAAAAGGGGACACAATTTGGGGCTCGTGAACAACACAATATCAACATGCAACTAAAACCCAAATTACACTAAAACAGAACAACAATAGCAGCAACTATTTATAAGAAAATACCAAAAACGAGGTTTCAGATGCTGAAATCAATCACACCACGACGATCCTCACAAAAAAACCCCACAATCTAGGCTTTTGAATCACCGGATTGGCACCTAAAATGACCAAGAAATCACCTCCAACAAAATTTAAATACAAAATCTAACCACGCCAACACGTTCTCCTTGAAAAACCACTTAAGATAGCCCCAACAATCACCGAAATCGGATCTAAAATGACTAAGAAAACAAGTCTAAACAATTCCCTAAATCAAGCTCACAAAAAGGGTACTGGCAGCAGGTATTTTACGAAAATTACCTCAAACGGGGACCCGAAATCACTATCCAAGCTCACCAACGCGTTGTCCTAAAAAAATCTCGCAACTTTGCCTTTTGAATAGCCCAAATCGGTTGAGAGATGAGAGAGTTATAAGGGTTTAAGTTTGGGGAAAATTTGCTGGATTTTCTACATCTTATAGCAGCTTTTCTGCACTTTTCCCAAAAACTTAAAAACTTCGACGGGGTCCTCCGATCTCGTTCGGAACCCGTGCATGCAAACGAAATATGCAGCCATATCAAATTTGACATTTCGGATTCAACGGCGCAGTCTAAATTTCCATCAGAGGTCATCTCGATAAAAAATGGGTCTCACTTTCAAATGTCATTTTAAACCAAAATCCACTAAGGGGCTCGAAATGAGTCCGGAGGCCTCGTGAGTCGAACGAGAGGTCGTTCTAGACCTAGAGGGTCTTTACAATATCCACTACTAAAAAGGACTTTCATCCGCGAAAGAAAGGAACAAGAAGTACCTGAAGGCTCAAACAAGCCAGGAAACTGCTCTCGCATCTCCTGAGCACCTCTGCCTGATGCATCTGATCTACTACCTAACCTGCCACCCCGAGGTCCGCCTCTGGTACCCTGTCGGCTGTCTTGACGATCCTGGCCATAACCACCACCTCTAAATGGAGAGGGCACTACTGAAACTGGTCTAGGTACAAAGGGAGGTGGTACAATCGCTCCTCACCCTCGCCAGGGGCACCCTCTGGACCAATGGTCAAGTGCACCGCAATCAAAACACCCAGAAGCTGAACGCCCTGAAGTAACCCGACCGCGGTAGGGAGGGAGGGAATCTGATCTCCTCGAACTCTGACCCGTACTAGGACAAGCCTGCTGATGCTGGCTTCTCTCAGAAGCAAGTAATGTCGCCTGAACAAACCAATTAGACTGACCCTGTTGGAACCTCTGGCGGGGACTATCATAAGAGTATATCCCTTTAGTTTGTGACCTATTGTAGCTTCCCTGGTAGCGTGCCCTCTTATCGCTGCCCCATTGGGTCTCGCGATGAATATGCTCCATGGATCGGGCATGATCGACCACATCATGAAATGAACGGCCGACTGAAACCAAATGCTCTATGTCGACCCTCAGACGGTACCGTAACCCACGTATAAATCAACGATCTCTCACCTCCTCTATATCTTGGGCCGATGTTGCGGCCCTGGCTCAACCTCGATGTCAACGTCTACCACAAGATGGGGATCTGTCTGAAGGCCCGATTACATCAACCCCAACCCAACCGCGCCGCCTCGCGTGCGAGCCATCCCCCGAAATAGTGAAACAAATGAGATTTCAAGGAACCAATAAGACACAAGTTGTACGAAGTGAAACAAAAAGGAAATCTTCCTAAAGACATCATGTAGCCTCCCGAAGATAAGTTACAGACGTCTCCGCACCGATCCGCAGACTCTACTAGACGTTAGCTCTGTACAAGTGAGACCGGTTACCTGGGCTCTGATACAAACTTGTCACGACCCGATTTCTCAAGTCATGATGACACCTACTATAACCCACCAGCAGGTAAGCCAACCCGTAACCCGGAACAACAAGTAATGGGTCTGAGGGTAGAAACTAAACAAGATAGGCAAATAACAATATAAAGGCGGAAGCAAACCAAAAACATATAAATAAAGATCCCTCCCAGAACCTGGAAGTCACTAGTACATAGCTACTACAAAATGAGTACAAGTCCCAAAAGTGCACAACAGAGATGGACTGTCTCGAAGGTAAAAGACAAGTCTATATATAGGTGGAGACTGAAATAGTACAAAATGTCGTGTGCTCACTCCCGTCTCCGGATCAGTCTGCTCCAAGCTCGATCAACGCTGGTACTAGTGCCCGGACCTGCATCACGAAATAGATGCAGAGCGTAGCATGAGTACCAAAACAACAGGTACCCAGTAGGCATCATAGGCCGACTGAACTTGAAAAGTAAAGGCAATATGAAAAGAAGGAATAACACAAATCGAAGTCAAGAACGAAAATCTAACTAACAATGGAATGCACACGAGTGTAGAAAGAACTAACTAAGCAATCTATAAGCTAACTACACCTAACTGGACCCCCATAAGCCCTGAAGGTACACTCGTGCGCAAGTTAAATAAAAACCCAACGGACCCCCATAAGCCCGACGATACACAGAATAACTATAACTAAAGAGAATTGCAAATGAGAACCCAAGAACGGAGAACACGAATTAGAACCTCAACCCGAATTAGTAAAATATGACAGTACGGAGGCTGACCTCGAACCAAATGCTCACAGAAGTACCCAAGTAACCAATCACAAGTATCAAGTATCTGAGGTCGGAACTCTAACCGGATGCTCTATATAAGTATCTGGGAAATAGAGGTCGAAACTCTAACCGGATGCTCTATATAAATATCTGGGAAATAGAGGTCGGAACTCTAACCGGATGCTCTTTAAAGGTGCTAATGTAGTTGCTGAAATAGTCCCAATCGATCTATTCTCATAAATGTTCGTGGATTGTCGTCCAGATCTAGCCAATCAATGTAAGTCCTTGGAACCGAATCGAAAATCAAATTCAAATTGCGAAGCAGAACTAGTGTCGCCGACGTAACTCTTGAAGTTGTAACATCGGGGAAATAAGGATAACTATCATCGGAGCAAACGTATGGCCTAGATAAGGCCCAAACTATTAGGCTCAAGTCTGCTACACCAGTTTACAGGAATCTAAGTCGGTCGAGCGGCGTCACGACAAAACTAAGGCCTAACGGATCCGAATCATGTATATCTAAGGCAAGCCCTAGTGAAATCTAAACTAAGGCCCAAATGCTTCAACAAACACTCATCGAGCAGACAAGTACTCCACATAGCAAAGAGGGACAATTAATAACACAAAGCATGCTCAAAAGTTACCCGATAATTCTCGAAGTAGGCCGAAAACATGATTTCTATCACTACCAACCCAAATCCCAACTAATCAACATGCATTCACACTCTCAAGCTCAATCTAAGAGAGGGAAACCGTAGCCTACATGTAGGCCGATTAAACGTGCTCCAAAATCACTTCCCCAAAGCTTTCCCTTTCCGAATGTCCTCGAAACGCTGCCCCGCTATAAAAAATAGAGTCACAACGTTATTACAGTCATTTAGACACCAAAATCAAAACAAAAGAAGACAGATCAATTTCGGGGTCAAAACAGGGAATGTGGGACCCGCGCAGGAAATTCCATAACTAACCCCAAAAGTGGGTCCTTACCAGTTCCCTCAGCTCATGTCCCAAAATGGAACACAATTTGGGTTAGTGAACAATACAATATCAACATGCAACTAAAACCATAATTACCCTAAAACGGAACAATAATAGCAGCAGCTATTTACAAAAGAATACCATAAACGAGGGTCCAGATATTGAAACCAATCACACCACGACGATCCTCATCAAAAACTAGGCTTTTGAATCACCGGATTCACACCTAAAATGACCAAGAAATCACCTTCTAAAATCTCCCAAAAATTTAGCTCGAAATGAGCTAAAACAGCAGCAAAATCACAACTTTTTACCTCCAACAAAATTTAAATACAAAATCTAACCACGCCAACGCGTTCTCTTTGTAAAAACACTCTAGATAGCCCAAACAATCACCGAAATCGAATCTAAAATGACTAAGAAAACAAGTCTAAACAATTCCCAAAATCAATCTCACAAAAAGGGTGTTGGCAGCAGGTATTTTAAGAAATTACCTCAAACAGGGACCCCCAAATCACTATCCGAGCTCACCAACGCGTTGTCCTCGAAAAATCTCGCAACTTTTCCTTTTGAATCGACCAAATTGGTTGAGAAAAGAGAGAGTTATAAGGGTTTAATTTTGGGGAAAAATTGCTGGTTTTTCTGCATCTTATAGCAGATTTTCTGCACTTTTCCCAAAAACTCAAACGGGGTCCTCCGATCTCGTTCAGAACCTCGTGCATGCAAACGAACTATGCAACATATCAAATTCGACATTTTGGATTCAACGGCCGCAGTCCAAATTTCCATCAGAGGTCATCTCGATAAAAAATGGGTTCCACTTCCCAATGTCATTTTAAACCAAAATCCACTAAGGGGCTTGAAATGAGTTCGGAGGCCTCGTGAGTCGAACGAAAGGTCATTCTAGACCAAACTCAACATTCTGGAGCTAACCACGCTGATGGAATTTTCATCTAACCACATTTTCCAAGAATGTTGACCAAAGTAAACCTTAAGCCAAATTTCAAAGGCTAAAACGCCTAATGATCCAAACTCAGATCGAAGGCCTCGATACTCCTTCCAACTATGCTACTAGCCTAATTTGGCCATTCCGGAGCTTGTAGAACAATCATAATTCTCTATTAAGGTCGTATTCTTGAACTTTTGATCGAAAATGATCGTTCAAGGTTCATAAGCTCCAAAACACAAAAACTCGCACCAAGACCAAACGAACGACCAGGTGACCAAACTGTCAGTCCCAGCAAGTCATAAATTACTTGGGGTCGCTATAGGAACGCTCTAAACGACACATAGAATGCGAGACACAGAAATGACCTGCAGGGTCATTACAATATCCACTACTAAAAGGACTTTCGTTCGCGAAAGAAAGGATCAAGAAGTACCTGAAGGCTCAAACAAGCAGGGAAACTGCTCTCGCATCTTCTGCCTCGGTCTCCCATGTATCCTCCTCGACTGGACGATGACTACAATAGACCTTAACAACATTAATGGCTCTCGAGCGCAATCTCTTCACATCTCTGGCTAGAATGGCAACTAGCATCTCTACAAATGTCAAACGATCATCCAACTCAACCGAATCACACTAGAGCACATGAGAATCATCTGGAACATACCGGCGCAGCATCAAAACATGAAACACTGGGTGGATAGCTGATAGTGCTGGAGGTAAAGCTAACTCATAGGCAACCTCGCTAACTGCTCTGAAAGTCTCAAAAGGGCCTATATACCTGGGGCTAAGCTTGCCCCGCCTCCCAAATCTCATCACACCCTTCACGGGCGATACTCGAAGAAATATCCAATCACCAACTGCAAACCTCAATAGTCGATGTCTATGATCCGCATAACCTAGTGTCTACTTTGAGCCGTCCTGAGCCAATCCTGAATCACCCGCACGTGATCTAAGGCCTCCTAAAGCAAATCTGTACCACGCGGCCTAGGCTCTGTACACTCAAACCAACCAAATGCAGAGCAATAATGCCTAGAGTGGTAGATGTTGTTGTACACAAACTCCGCCAAAGGCATGAACTGGTCCCACTGACCGCCAAAATCCATAACACAGGCCCGCAACATATCCTCAACGATCTGAATAGTACGCTCTGACTGACCATCCGTCTGTGGGTAAAATGTTGTGCTAAGGTGGACACGGGTGCCCAACTCCTCCTGAAAAGCCCTCCAAAAGCAGCAGCGAACTGTGAACCCCGGTCTGAAATGATAGAAACAGGCACGCCATGAAGACGGACCACCTCTCTAATGTAATACGAGCCAACCTCATGGCACTGAAAGTAGTATGAACAGGAAGGAAGTGTGCTGTCTTGGTCAATCAATCCACTATGACCCAAATGCTGCCAACACCTCTAGAAGTCCGAGGCAACCGCACAATGAAGTCCATAGTGATACGCTCCCACTTGCACTCCAGAATGCGTAATCTCTGGAACTCACCACAGGCGTCAATTGCTCGGCCTTTACCTGCTAGCAGCACAAGAAACGGAAAAACAAAGTCAGCAATATCTCTCATCATGCCACTCTCATAAAGGCCAAGACGAGTCTCTAAAATCCACCAATGTATCATCCTCAAACTGGCAACTACAGATCCTATCAAACAAAGAAGACTGAACTCCCATAAAGTCCAAGACGTGTCTAGAATCTGAGATATCCAACTGAACCATGCTATTAGCCAAGGACTGACTGTCCAAAGCTAAGGGTCGCTCCTCAACGGATAAGAAGGCTAGACTACGCATACTCACTATTTTCCGGCACAAGGCGTCCGCTGCCACATTCGCCTTGCCTCGATGATAGAGAATATAGA